TCCTCCAGGGGAGACTCTCCAACACTGTAGAGTTCCTGCTTTCCTGATTTCTTTTGCCAAAGGGAGCAGATACAGTCTGTATGAGGAACGGTCTCTCCTCTCCCTGCTTCCCTTTCTCAGCTGCTCCCTGTGCTGCTCACAAATGCTGCTCGCGCTCATGGGGGTCCTTCGTTTCAGTGTAATTTCTCCCTCACGAGCCTGCAGGCAGCCTGAGGGCAGAAGCTTCTCCTTGTGGTCTCTGCCCCATCACCTGTGACGCGGACACAGCTGCTTCCTGGTACCTGTTCAATACTTGTTGGTGGGAGATGAGAAACATTTGCTCAGAAATCATTTGTCCCTCATCCAGATTGCTAGGGGAGCCCACCTAAGCCTCCACATCAGATCTCGTAAAGTTGAATGTCATTGTCCCTACAAACGACCTATTCAGAGCTGCCCACGTGGTTCTGCCAAGATGAGCTCCAGGGTCTCCTATGTTTGGAACCTCTCAGTGTGCATCCAGCCCTGGGACTTCAGTTGTGCTGGGATCATAGCTTCTAGGACCACATCTCACTCCATCTGCCCTCATGCTGACTTCCATGGAGATTCTGTCACCTTGATGTGACCAGTGAGAAGGAAGTGGCAGATACACCCAATGTCCCCACACACAGAGAAACACCAGAAATGGACTAAACATCCCAAGAAAAGCAAGGGTCTTGACATCATAGTATAGTTTCTAGGGGGTCCAATCATTTGGGGAAACACCACATACCTTTTTAAATTTAAAAACAAATTTGTCTTCCCTGTATGCCCTGTCATGAGTAAAGAGACACCACACTTCATAAGCATGTTTGTGTATCTGGAGCCAAACTTATCACAACCGGGTGTGCTCTATCACCATATTTACCAGTAAACCACTCAACAACGGGCTTGGAAGAACAGGAGAAGATTCCTAGCTGGTACCAGCTACAATGTAAGTAGCTCTGCTCTTGATTCTCATGGTCCTGGAGCCCCACAGGTGTTTGAAGGGGTAACTGAGCTATTTAACTGCTCATTGGGGCCTGATAGAGCCTCCGACACTGAGCAGAACCCCATCTTCTTTGGAAAGTTACTGTTATTTCATAAGGTTTTAGACTTGACATTGGACTCTAGAGGGCACTTAGTAGCTGAGCAAGGGACACACCAAATGACCATATTCCCCTGCCGACTGTCCTCAGCCATGCTTTTTCTGACCCATGAAATCATACCATTAGTCATGTCTACTTCCCTTCCATTATCACATGGAAGTTATATACAAGCATAGGTTCCAGCAGGACCTGGGGACACACTTACCATCCTGGTGCACCTGCTCCTGCTACAAGACCACTTCTAACACCGGTGGAGACAGGCCGAGTGGACAAATGGAGATCCA